TTCAGCATCATTACTCCAGTCTTCAGTGTCACATGATCTTCAGAAATCATTCTAATATGCTGATTTGCTGCTCAAGAAACATTTCTGATTATTATCAGTGCTGAAAACAGTTGTGCTGCACAATATTTTTGTGAAAACTGTGATGCATTTTATTTTTCAGGATTCTTTGATGAATAGAAAATTAAAAAGAACGGCATTTTCATGAAACAGAAATCTTTTGTAACATTAGAAATGTCTTTACTGTCCCTTTTTGATCAACTTAATGCATCATTTCTGAAAAAAGCAAGCATTCAGTTCTTTCCCTTTTGAATGAATATATTTACTTCAGTATAAGCAGGAGAGCAAAATCTCTCCCGAGCCCATTTCCCCATCATGCCACCCAGCTGCAGGTAAGAGGATCTGATCTTAGATCAGTCGCTCAGTATAACCTGATACGGCTCTTTGTGAGCGTTTACAAAGGTTAAGCTGACCTCTCCGCCACCAAGTGCCAAACAAACCGAGAGGGAAGGAGGAAGAAACTAATCTAATAGACTTAGAAGGAAAGCGCTCTCTTTAAACCGAGTTAGCATCGTTTAATTGACCCACCAGAGGATCAGATTGGACCCTCATAGCCACTGCAAGAGTCAAACATTTGGATATAAATTCATCCCTCAGCAATGGAAGTCCAAAAAATACCTGGCCACTTTGCATTAGTTCCGTTTCACTTGTAAAGTGTGCTTGTGCATCTTCTTTGCAACAAATGGTTTGAGGTTTTTAATTTGACGCAATGACATTCTGACACTTAAATATGAAACCTTGTTTCCACCACAGAATTAAAAAAATTAATAAAATAAAGGTATATGTGACTTTTTAATCTCACAATTTTGACTTTTTTTCTTTGCAATACAGTTGTTTCCGCAACGAAATAAAGATAATTGCGACTTTTTATCTGACAATTTTGACTTTTTTCTTAATTGTTTTGTTTCCACAACAAAGATAAGGTAATCGTGACCTTTTTAATCTTACTTTTTCCCCCTCACAATTGCTTTGTTTCCTCAATAAAAAAAAAAAAAAAAGGTATTTTTTTCACAAAAAAAAAAGTTTTTCAAAAAAGTCAGAATTGTGAAATATAAACACAGAGTGGGGGGAGGGGGGGGGTCTGATTTGAAGTCCTATAATAAGCTTTTTTCAAATCCTGTAGTGGAAGCAAGCTTCCATGTTTATAATATTTATTCCATGTTTAAATACATTTTGGGGTTGCTGTATTGCTTTGTTGGTGTAAATAGCACTTTGGTGGTTTGTTGAAAAGTTTTTATGCTTTACGCTATGCCTCTGGATAGTTATGAAAGAAAATCGGTGTGGTAAAAGGACTTCATGTCATGCGTCTTACTGACATACAAATAGTAACTGTGTGTACTGTAATATTAGAATGATATATATGTCAAATATAAGGTACCACTTGTGTCAAATCAAATTGCACATCTGTAATGCAAAATAAACAGAGCACGTACGATCGGCCTCCATTAAAGACCAGTGGCTGCGCCGAGAGGCCTTTTCTCCTTAAATAAAACATTTCCACCATCATCATGTCTGATCTTGTTTTGCTCTGCCTGTGATCTGCCGTCCGGCCCAGAAAAGCCAGTCAAATTTGGGTAGTGCCGCTCGCCAACCTGTGGCCTGGAGAAACAACATGCTTAGATCAAATGGGATGGGAGATGTGTAATTACTGGTGGTTATGAAAACTGGCTGTCATCCTCAACGCGGCGAATTCAGAGCCGCCCGAGGACAGCCGAGGCAGACACGCCTGGAAAAGCACTAATCCAGCACACTTAACTAGAGAGGCAGGCTGTTGCTTCACCTCGCTTAGTTTGGAGTTTAATACGGAGGCAAACGAACCGTGGACGGTAGGCCCGGGCGATATATATATTCAATGTTCACAATGCATTTGACTAGATATATAACATTTTAAGTTTGATTCATTTCCGTGAATCAGTTCAAACTCAAATGAATTCAGAACTTGATTTTAACCTTTTGTTAGCATCAACACTACAGGAAGAATTTTCTATTTATTAAAAGACAGAAAAAATACAGAGCTTTAGAAAAAGAAAAACTAGAAAAAAAATATTGTTAATATTCTTCCTTCTGATCATTTGGTGAAAAAACATGCCTTGTTTTTTTTTTTCAAAGCAAATACATATACATTTAAGTTACTTAATAAAAGATAAATAGAAAAAAGTATAACATTTTAGAAAAAATAAACATCTAAACAAAACATTGTAAATATTCTTCCATGTGTGCAAAACATCGTGGAAAACATGTCTTGATTTTTTAACCTAGATTTTTATTGTCTTTTACTTAGGTTATTTTAAATATTTTGAGTTTAAATAGCAACAATGGGGGGAAAAATCCAGATCTGAAAGATATTTATTAAAACATTAAAAAAAAAATTATATATATATGAGCAAAGCATATTGTAAATATTCTTTCTTTTGTTTATTTGGTGCAAAACATGATTATTTTAACTAGATTTTTATTGTATTTTACTTCTTATATTAAACATTTTGGATTTAAATGGCAACCGTGGACACAATTTCAATGCAAACATATATAAATATCCAGATTTATATATCAAATATTGTTAAAAAGGCCAATTATAGAGAAATAATTGAAGTTTTTCACCCAGCTCTAGTTCAATTCAATTCAAGTTTATTTGTACAACGCTTTTCACAATACAAATCATTGCAAAGCAACTTTACAGCTCTAGTGCACTCTATAATTTGATGCACAACATACAGCAGATCACTCGATATCCTTCTTCCCAGCAGCAGATAAAAGCCGTAATGTTGAATTCATGTGGTCTGGCCAAAGGAAAAAGTGAGGGAAGAAAAGATAGAAACTTCCCCCTACCCCCACCTGCTTCTATCACTTTGTCCCCTAGAGGAAGGGAACATTATGCAGGAGGACAATGCGTCAAAGCAAGCCAGGCCTGTTTCAACAGGTTGGTGCTGCAACAAAAAGCATCTGTCTGTGCGACACGCTCTCTGTAAGCAAGAGACTGATACCCTTCTGTAAATCAGACACACATGCATGCATTCTCTTTCTAATAATCAGCTATACTCATAGAAGCGGATGTTTCTTAACCAACCCAAAGCACTCGCTCAAGAACAACTGCCGCCTACAGTGACTCTACAGTTCACAAAACACCCTTTATAGGGCTTGAACCTTCAACCTTTGAGTTACAAACCCACAATGTTCTTTTGCATGGGCTTGCAATTACAATTTTCATTCTGCATGTAGATACTAGCTACCGGCGGCATGAATAACAGCTCAAAACCTTTGTGATTTTGATAAAACAACCTAGATAAACTGTCAGACTTAGAGACCAGAATATCACAGAGACTTGAGGTGGACGTTCTTCGCTTGAAATGGTAAGAAACCACCTAGCAACCACCCACAACACAGCACGTTTTGCACAGGCAAGCACACTTTCTTCAGATAAAGCAAAAATCTAGTTGCAACTTGCAACAGAACAGAGGCAAAATGTTTTGCCAAACAAATACAACTCAAGAAACACCTTTCTGCATCCGTGTCTAATGAAGCAATCATCTTGTAATGCGAACTGCTGTCAAATTCAAATGCAGCCTCATCGAGATGATCACAAACACACATCACACTAACAAGAAATCGGTTTTAGTTTATTTTTATGATGCAATAGCTCTTTCCCAAAGGCTTTCAAGATCCATTTACAGTGAGTGCATCCCCCTCTAGCTTGACCGGGACGGCTCTCGCAGAGAATCGCAGAACTCGCAGCCTTCAAAGCCCGAACATCTGGCAGTATGGCCTCAGAGAACAGACCTAACGCTTTACAACACCACAAATCTATCAGCTCCAATAAGACCCAAGCAGCTCTTGGCTCTATCACAGATGCATTTGATGGCTTCCCAGGTGAGCGATTCTGCATGCGAGACGACAACAGATCTCGGATGAGACGCAGCGTTACTGCTGTAGACTTCTACGCCATCAGCAAAGACTTGTGTGTTATTGATCATGCAAAGAGCTGTTGCTGTTTCTGGTACTACAGTATGCGGCAAAACATCTACAGTGGCCACAAAGTTACTAAGAATAATAGCCTGAAATAAACAGAATATGATTACATTTATTCTGCCAAATGTTTTGTAAGAAGAGTGACAATAAATGACACTTGCTTTGATCTAGCATCTAATGCAAGACATTTTTAAGTGACTATCCGCCAGTAAAAGCTTCCAAGACCGAAGATGATCATGCAAAGAATTCTTGGTGTTTCCGGTACTATATCACATGTATCGTGGCTCAAAAATGTAAAATTAAATTCCAAAATAAACAGAAGGTTACTGCATTTTTAATTTGCTAAATGTTTTGTTAGAATAGAATGCATATGGAGTTTCTTTACAATAAATGACACTTGCTTTGATAAAACACAATTTACAATTTTAAGTGTTGCTTAACTGTCCAAATACTTTTAGAGCATTTGTCTGCCAGTTAAAGCCTCCAAAAGCAAAGAGTATCATCATGCAAAGAATTGTTTTCTGATACTGTATGACAAAAATCTACTTCATTTTAAAAATAATAGCCCAAAATAAACAGAATGTGATTGCGCTTGTGCGGTTTCTTTACAATGAACACTTGCTTTTGATCTAACATCTAATGCATTGACATTCAGATAGTTTTAAGTGTTGCTTAAGAGTCCAAACACGTTTTGATGCCAATTAAAGCCTCCAAGAGTGAAGATGCACAGCTGTATTCTCTTCAGATCCCACGTCGTTACCTAGACTCTAAAAAGGGGTTTTCGCAGCAACGCAATAGAACCTTCATTTCAAGAATCTTTCAGTTTTCCCAGCATCAAGAACATTTTAATAATCTAAAATAACCTTTTTCCACTACAAAGGACCTTTTGTGGAATGGAAAATTCCACGAAGATGCCAACAAAGAACATCAGTCCAATGCATGACTGAAAAACCCTGAAAGCACCTTCCAGCTCTTACCTGCATCAGTTTCCCTTCAGCATAGCCTGCGCTGCCCCCGGCGAACACCCCTTCTAGGGTGATGGGCCTGCTGGTGGGCTCCTGCTTCAGCAGCGACACCTTGATCATGGCTCGGGGTGCGGAGCGTTCGGACTCCACAGCAGCGGCTAGTTCCAGGCCCGTGTGGCCCAACGCCACCTGCGAGGCAGCCATGAGCAGCCACGGCCAGAGCCCGGCCAATTGCCGCACAGGGACCCTCATTGTCCTGGCTGCAGCGGCGGGCCCCGGCCATACATTATGCGCTATCCGTCCAATCAGAGCTCAGATAAAAGACAGGAGACAGTCACTGAAACCGTCCAAAAACCCAGTGGCTTTTAGAGTGGCTGGTTTAATAAGCTCTGCAGGGTTGAGATTTGAAATTAAAGAATATTACAAGCAATTCAATGGAACTTTAGTGGGGGACTGGCCCGTATCACTGACAGAACATGGTAGACCGAGTGACAGCGGACAGACTCCTGGCGCGAGCATTGATTTAATATGATCCCCTAAAGGTCTGATCAATAATATAACAGATTCCCCCGTGGATTCCCGCGCGTCTTGATTGAGAACATGACGTCATAATGGCTCCATTAGTGTGCGGTGCGCCGCGTCCACTTCAAAGGATTCCAAACATTCCAGAATGTAGCAGGTTGTAGCAGAATCCAGCAATGCGACAATGTCTCAGTTATTCCACTCTGATCAAACACGCATCACAATCCCACCGTGAACGCCTGGAAACGTTTTCCGTGAGGTCCGATGGGGGGGAAAAATATTATCCAGATAAAACAAGAGCTTAGCGGGAGCGATCGAAAACACTGTCAGGAGAGAGCCTTTTCTAAACACTCTTTTCCATGTTCCTAAATGAATTAAAACTTCACAAACCTGTTCGACTCGGATTAAATTTCCACAGATCCATGTCGAGAAATCTAGACACTATACGTGTAGAATCCGCACGCGCTGTCCCGAAGCCTCAGTGTTGTTGATCCGAACAGCAGGAACACTGGAAAAGTTTAAAGTTGAGAGTGAACTCGAGTGTGAGTGTGTGTGTGTGTGTGTACCTGCCGACTGTCAGCGAGGGTGGAGCAGAACTGATCCGACCCATTAAACGCGTGTATACACACACACACACACACACACACACACTGCGCCCTCTAGCTGACATCACTGGATCACTGGAGAAAAATCAGAATTACAGAACGATGCTGGATGCCAAAACTGATTTTTAAACGTGAATATAATCATCAGCATAACAACTGTAAGCTTCATAATAACGTTAACAGATGTTAATGGGAACAGACTTGGAGAAATGTAGCACTGCATCAGTGTCTCAGCAGTGGATGCTCTGCAGTGAATGGGTGCTGTCAGAATGAGAGTCCAAACAAGCTGATAAAAACATCACAATAATCCACAGCACTCCAGTTCATCAGTTAACATCTGGAGAAACCAAAATCAAATCTATCATTAAAGACATTTTTAACGTCTTCAGACCATTGCTTCCAAATAAAATCGAGTCCATAATCCATAATAACGCTTCATCCAGTGAAGGTGAATACATTTTCTGCAAATTTAGATTTTTTAATGAACTACTCCTTTAAAATAAAAATTAAAACTAAATGTTGAAAAATAGTATTTTGTATTTGTCTTTTTAGGGATGTTGATTTAAGGAAAACAGATTTATTTACAGTAGGCCTATTTGTAGTCAAATTGAGTGACTACAATTTGTTGGACAAAAAAAAGTTAAACTAAATATTAGAGTAACATACTTTAACTGCACAATCTAATTATATTGTCTCCTAACTTACTGGTATACTTAACTTTTATTCAAATTATAAATAGGTAATTTTTAATAAAGGAAATAAAGTCCTTAGGGAAATGAGGATTTATACGGGACATGTTTTCATGACTTGAGCTGGTTTATAATGTACAGAGGCGGACAGTAACTAAGTACATTTACTTGAGTATTGTACTTAAGTACACTTGAGTATCTGTACTTTACTTGAGTATTATTTTTTCTGGGAACTTATGACTTTAACTTCACTACATTTGAAAGACAAATATTGTACTTTTCACTCCACTATATTTCTATCAAGATCCTCGAAGTAGAAAGTTGTCAGCAGCTTTGAAAGTCAGTGGGGGATTTCTTTCTTCTCTTAAAAACTCTTTTTAAGTCTTTTTTTCAGACAGTTTATCAGTAATCACTCTTGTAGGGCTACATGAAGAGATTTCTCAGCATTTTTTGAACACTGACCAGTTCCAAATGTGATATTTATTTACAACAATTCAATAATAAGATATTAATATTGTGGTATATATTAGACACAATATTGTCTGATTTTGCTCAATTGTGTAGGTGAAAATATTACCTATAAAGCCACAGAAGAACTGTTGTGCGTCTCCTAATAAAACACAATGTGTTGGACTGAAGCAGCACTGCAAACCATTCTGTGTGACATCAAAGTACAGCGAGAGCGATTGTTTTGCTTTTTTGTTAAAGCAGTGTTGCTGTTGTAAAGTTATACAGCTACAGTTGTGCTGCTGGGTTTTAAAGCAGGTTTGATTTTTCTTTCTTTATCACTCTGTATTTACAGGACTTCACTGTCCACTCTGTTCAAATGTGGATGAATGGCTACACATAGATGTGTGCACACACTGTCAGAACTGTGTGAGATCACTACCATCCTGCTTTTGTGGGGTGGGTAGGGGTGTTAATCTTTCCCCCCATAGGATAACATTCTAAAAGCTCTTTATTCCAAAGATACTACAAGCTAGTCAGTGTATTCAGTAGGTGTAATGTATTGTAAGTTGCTTCAGAAGTATTGCAAGTATTACGTACAACAATAAAACAGTGCATTGACATAAAAAAGGAAATTTACTTTTGGTACTTCTGTACTTTTACTTAAGTAAAAATCTGTCTTTACAACTTTTACTTGTAATGGAGTAATGTTTGACCAGCGGTATCTGTACTTTCACTCAAGTAATGGAGTTGAGTACTTTGTCCGCCTCTGATAATGTAATACATAATATAACAAATCTGAGCAGTCAAAATAACAAAACAAACAGCACGTTCAGTCTTTATCAGGGATTTCACTTGCTTTGCATTTATTCAAATTCAGAAAAGCTGAAAACAAATCAGTTCATTCAAATCTGACTTTCACTCTTGTGCTACATTTAAAAAATATATATATACTGATGCTTATGAATACTGAAATATATAGGATATAAGATAAATAATATAAGAATATATATAAGATAAATAATATCACATTCACTGTAGATATTTAAAGTGTGTGTATTTAGCATAAATGCCATTCCAATTAAAGGCAGAAACTCTGTGAGAAAACAACTTTCAAAAAAACAGCAAGCAATATTAACTTAACACTTCTTCAAAAGTTTCTTAAATAGTTCATACAATTTTTTAAATACTGTAAATAACATATATAACTAATAACAATACTTAAAATTAAATAAGTAATAGCTTTGTGATGCTTGTCATTTGCATATGCTGATGAATCCTGCCTGTCATCTGTGGATCATAACAAGCATAAAGTCATAAAAAGTTACAAAAAATAAATAAATGATTGTGCAAAAACATAATTCAAGGGTGTTATATAATCTGAAACTGTCCTACCTAGAATAGCTGTAGTGAGTCTTGCTCTGCTGTCACTTTCTGATCTGTAGCAGCCTGATTACAGAGTATTGAAGGCTCCGTTTTAATTTAAGTAGGCTTTATAGTTTGTGATACTGTATTTTTTGGTACTGTAAAACAACACACACTTAAAGACCAACTAAGACAATACCAGCGTCTTTTGACCTTTTCTGAGGCCTCCAGGGATGCTGAATCATCTTCTTTGAGTTGGCTGGCTCCAGCATCATGCCCCTCAGACTCCAGTTTGATGTACTGAGCTCCCACACTGCAGGCCATGGCAGAGGGACGCTCGTCTCTCACAGGAATGGATGCTGCAGTGTCTATCCTGGAGCTCTGAGGACTGTCGGGGTCAGGTTTAGAGGCAGCAGGTAGAGTGCAGAGAGATGGGCTGGAGGTGTGCTGGCCGTTCACAGGGGTGCTCACTCGGACTACGTGGACGTTGGGCAAGCCCTGGAACTCATCCACCATCTGGAACACCCTGTCTAGGTTCACGTCGCCCCGCTGAGACTCAGGAGTAACGTGTGCGGGCCAGTTTGCTGTTTGGATGCTGTTGTGATGGTGGCTCTGTGAATAGTTCTGCTAGAGTAATGAGAATAAAAATCTTTAAAGTGTTGTCGTATTATAAAATATCTAAATATTACAAAGCAATAAGACAACAGAATAAAAATAATTTTTATTTGGTCTTTTGAATTTATATATATTGACCTTTTGTATGTTGCTATGGACAAAAATCTATCTATCTATCGATCTATACACAGTATATAGAGCAACAAAAATAACTAACATCATGGATATAGTTTAGCTATTATAGCTAAACTATAAGAAAATAAAAAATAAAAATATGTATTTTTAATTTTTTACTTTATTTTTTTACAAATATATATATATATATATATATATATACACACACACACACACACACACACACACACACACATACATACATGTGTTCAGGATTGTGAGATTCATTCAGAAAGATATGCAACATATGAACTGTGTAATGTTTCTCACCGGGTAATAAGCATAGTGTGAATATGGTAGAGCTGTTTGATCTGCACCTGCTCGATCTGCTTCAATAAAACCAGCAGTGCAACACTGACAAACTACTGAGAGCAATACAAATAAACAAATGTTGAACAAAACGTTCATAAGCAAATAGAAACGCAACAGTAACAGTTTTGTCTCAGAAGTTTCTCCTGAAATTAAATCTCAAATGTGAGCACCCTGTGGAGATCTCTTCTCAAAGTGAGGCCTTGTCCTGTGGAAAATACTGAAATACACTAAAAACACTATTTGCAACATTTTTAACAATGGGTTTATTTAATGGATTTATAATGCACTGTAGGACAAAGTCAGTAAGTACCTGGCGAGTAAAATCCAGGAGGATAGGACAGCTGATGAGGTATATATTTAGGCTCCTGTGGAAACAGAGCACCAGGACCGGACTGGATCCTGTAAGGAGTGTTGTACGGATTGAGGCGGATGACAGAAACTGGGATGCCTTTGTTAGAGTAGAAGGGAGGCACATCACTGTAAGGAATGATCCAGGAGTGCGGAGGGATCGGGCTTCGGTCAGACCCCATCTGCTGATGCGACACAGAACCAAAGTGCTGATTTGTGTCTGCAAAACCTGAGGAGCAAGTATAAAGAGAAGTTTATAGATCATTAAAAGATTAAAAAAGCTACAAAAAAGCAATTTTTTTGGCACTTCTTCCGTCAGTCTAGAGGTGTCATTTGATGTTAAGTGTGCATGAGGGCCAGGGTCGATTCCTGATATAAAATACATTTTTATAATGAACCAAGCAAAATGGCTGAACTTGATGTAAAAAAGAAAGAAAAGAAAAGTGGAAATGACTAAATAGCTCTTTTTGTGTTTCATGGGAAAAAACCAACCTCAGATAAAAAGACTAAATAACTATTAATAAACTATTAATACTAAAACTTAAGTTTTCACTATAATAATTGTCTTCAGACCCAATTAAATACTTTTGAATTATGAACTAGTTACATTTTCACTAAAGACTGACATTTAAATAGATATATTATCTCATTGGTTGTATTGACAAATTAATATTTTTATTAAGTTTTGGACAGATTTCCCTAAACAGCCTCACGCACATGTCTTTTTGCTGTGAAATTTATAAAGTAAACATAATAACTTTGATATGGTTGGTAATATTTCCAGATGAACACTTTACTTGATTATTCATACATCCTTTGTTTTTAGAAAAAAATCAGTGAGTAGCAAATACGATCATCATGCTTTTGAGGAACGTTTATTTCTTTCAATCATCGTTGGATTGCATTATATGTTTGGATCATTTAAATCTCATCTTCCTAAGACATATTATTAGAGTGACGACTGATATTTGTATAATTTTATATAAGCATCTGCTGTACTGTTATAAAAACCTCATTGATTTACATGAAAAGCATCAGAATTTCATCTTACTTTTTAGCCATATATCATAAATATTTTTGCTCAGCTTTTAGCCATAAAAGCCCGATGTGCCAAATACAGTGTTGGGAAGGTTACTTTGAAAATGTAATAGTTTACCGATTTCAAGTTACCCTATTTAAAATGTAATAAGTAGTGTAACTAATTCAATTACTTTATTAAAGCAATATTAAACTTTTGATTACTTTTCTAAATTTCTCATGTTTTTGGAATTATTTAAGCAGGCAGGGTTAACTTTACAGCAGGACTCTACGCTGATTACTGTCAGACTTTCACAATCCTTCATCACTTAAATTAACACTATAATAATTGAACTGAAAGCTCAGTCACCACAAAATCAGACTTTAGCACCTCTTTTTACTTTGAGATCGTTCTGAGGTTAAATAGAGATTTACAAGAAACCGTTTAAAAGCTCTGAAACAGTTTTTGAGATCAAAGAAAGAAATCAATTAAATCTGTGTGTGTGTGTGTGTG